AGTGGAGCACCTTTACTCCTTTATCCTGTTTCTTTTTATATCGCTTAAAATAAAACAGCAAGCTGAAAGTCATGAATGAACTGAATGAAAATATCCTCCAAATCTGGAAGGTTGGAAAGCTCCAGGACTTTGTGCAGAACATTAAGGGAGTAGTCATAAACTTTGGATCTAAATTGAAATTTCTGCAGAACCAAGTTATGAATAGTTGGGACTGAGGTTCTGAATTAGGTTCACTTTTTTTTCACCAGTAATTACTAAAGATGTTTCCTCCTCAGAACAAAATAATAAACTATGGCTAAATAACTTTGAGATCATTGCTAGATGCATTGTTGTTTTTTTTTGCCATATATAACATACAAAAGCCATACTAATAGTCTAAGTTTCCACAGTCTAGGACTTGAGAATTAGGAATTGCCAGCATTAAAACTGAGTCTTCAACCTTATCCTTACCTTCCAGACATGTACAGCTTTTAATCTTTAATTACATGATCCCAACCCATTTTTAAAATTACAAAATATACATTTCTTGTAAACTTAGAGTTGCATATGTAGCATTTTTCTTCAGTGTTTATGTAGGAACTTAACTAAATCTTGTTTTTTTTTTAAATTTGTATAACACACCTGTTTATTCACTGGATAAGTAAAAAGGCAATTTGTTCAACCAAACCTTTTGTTATTTATCATTTTGTTTGCTACTGGTATTCCAGAGGCAAGATCCAGGCAAACACTTCCAGAAGTGACACCACAGGCATCACCCTATATAAATGATTCTTTCTAAACCTTAGCAGGCCTCAAAACCAACACATTTTTTTAAAGTATTGCCTTTGGTCCTCTGCCATTTCTTGATAAATAAATCCACTGAAAAGTGACTAAATTAAAATGGTATTACTTAACATAACAGATCTGCTTTTTATTCTTTTTGTCTTTATTCATGTTTATTACAAAAGTGCCAAAGAGATGTTGTACTAAATATGGTACAAATACTGAGTAGTAAAGAGATCTTGCTTCAAAAACAAGATACAAGCTGGGAAAGGGATAAAGCATATGAAGTGAACAATGTGAGGATAGAAAATTTCATTTGAATTCTATTTTTCTTTTTCCTGAAGGACGTAGGCATCAGCTACATGGAAAGGAAAGGGATGAGGTGGCCAGGGGAATGAGAGAAGAGTGTGGAGTGAAGTCAAGATGAGGCAGTGAGGTTGGATGAGTGGCCATTTCTCTGGTCTGATAGGAGCAAAGTCCAGACAAGCCTGTAGAAAATTCTCTGAATGGCTACAGGTGCTCTTGCTGCCTGGAGACACTGAAGGAAGAGCTAGACAAACTTCCCCAAGGCCATAGGATGGGGTAGGAAAGAATCACTTGATTCAGGTATCTCCAGGGTTGAGCTACTTCCCTGGCTGATTTTTGGTGCCTTATGTGCATTTGAGTCTTATATGCTCTATTTTAGATGACCAAAAATCACTTTTGTTGTATCTCTTTCCTGCATAAAACTACTGGTTCACATGGCTGTCAGTGACTTTTAGCAAGTTTATGAAGAGTGTGAATGTCTGACGGGCGAACTCCCAGGCCCGGTGACAGTGCTGGCTCACTGCCTGTCTTTGGGTAAGCCTCCTGCCTTCCTCTCCTGCCATGCCTTGTTGCTAAATAAATTAAGATGTTAAGTAGGTGGGAGGCTGCCCTTCGAGCACTCTGCTCTTCAGGGACAGTAAGCACATGACTCTAACCTTCCCTTTATCATGTCCCATGCCTCGCAGATGTCATATCTGAGCTGCTCTATGCTCCGGCCTGAGGCCAGGCAAACTCAGTACATGGTTAGGCTTCTCTCATGCTGCCCTATTCAGGGTCTCACTCATAGAGCCCCCCTCTCACTGTGGCCTCTATCACTCCATCTGGTCTCACCAGGACTCTCACACTCATGCCCTTTACTGGGCCTCACTCACACTGTCCTGCTCCCTTGAGAGACTACATGGTTCATCCGGCTTATCCCTCCTCTCCTTGGCCAGCCCTGGCATAGCCTCTTGGGCCTTTCCCGTGACCCTCATCTACATCATGGCTGCATAATTAGTCAAACCCTGGGCTGACTTTGCTTCTAACCCCCACACTGAGTAGTATCCTTCATTGGGGCCAATTACCCACCCCCTTTACTCACAGCTCCTTCTGTGCTGCATACTTGGCCTCAGGCCCATATGTGGTCTCAGGAGTTCAAAGCCTTACCTGGGCCTCAGCACACTCACCCAATGGTCAGGGCCTCAACTTTCCACTCCTGGGGTTCCAGAGTCTTACACCCCAGTGGGCTCAGGTTTCCTTTGCACAGGTGTGCCTGCCCCACTACTCCTCTCCAGGGTCTCTCACCCCTGCAGGCTCAGGTGTCTCACATGGGCATGCCTGGCCCCATTTCTCTATGGTCTTATAACTCACCAGAATGGTGGGGGCTGAGGTTAAGGCACCCCTATCCACCTTTCACTGGGAAGGTAACTGGCCTAGTATTTATTGGCGGCTGTTTTGCCACAAACAGCCCTGCCAGACCACCCTTCCCTGGCAGGGTGTATTTTCCAGTCATACCCAGGACCAATGCACAGGGGTTAATTGATTTCTAATTGCTTGGATCTCACACACCAAGTGTATCACAGCCCTGGAAGTAGACAGGCTATCTAATACAACAACGCCAATGGATGGGGACAGCCTGAGAATTTAGGGAGGCATGCCATAACACGAGATCACAGCCTTCAAAGCAGACAAATTGTCTAATACAACAAGGACACAAAGCCTGGGAACCAAGGAAGTATATTCCATACTGTCCCATAACACGAGATAAGTGACACCAGCTACAGGGCCCGAGAGAAGCAGGGGGGCCTCAGTTCTGGTTTTGGGGGAACAGACCAAATTAGGAGAAGGCCTGGAAGGCTACATGGATGTGTGACCACAGAGAGACAACCAACCAGAGAGAGCCATGGATGAAGAGTCATCAGGAGTCATCAAGGGGGAAGGGGAATACAAAAGCAGAGACTCGAGATTAACAAAGGGTCCCGCCCTGTCCCTCCTCCTCTTCCTTCCATCCTTCCTCCTCCTCCTCCTACTGCTCCTCTCTGAGAGGAGTCCCCATCCACATCCCCATCCCCTGGGAAGGGTCCCTGAGGCCACCATGGACAGAGGGCACATACCAGCAGCCCATCTCATGCTCCCTACTTGGAAGGGGCCTGTGGGCCTCAGCATCCCACCTCCAGACTGCTGACACCTAAGATAGAGAGCTTCAGAGTGGAGCCTGCATCCTGGCCAAATGTACTTTGACTCTGATGACAGCCCTAGGATTAGTGGATATAGAATTGCTTGATTGTTTGTATTGTTGCTTTTTTGTTATCACTCTGTATCAGAAAACTCACCTATTATCAACTGGCAGGTGTTGTGGTTGGTCTGAGGATTGTGCTTGCCCAGAACAAAGATATAAGTGCTAGGTCCTAAATCCAGCACCAACATGGACCAGCAGCCAACCCTTCACAGCCTGGTACTGGGCCATAGTCCGGGGGTTGGGAACCTCTGCTCTAAGATCCCACAATTAACTTGCAAGCCTGGCAGTTTAGAAAAACAGCATTTAATAGTAAACCAGGATGCTTTAGATATTTGAAGCTGAAACAGTAAATACTGGACTTCATAACACCATTTATATACAGTCATTTCATGCTGTAGGATGAGGAAGATGGTTTTGATGTTTTTGAGTAAGCAGGCATACTTTCTAGATAGGAAGCCACTGACATCTCCAGTGAATATGATTTCAGTTTTATGTGACTTACTGGAAATTCTGGCTGGGGTCAGGTTGTGTGGCCCACCTACATTTAGCCATCTGCCCCACAGATGAACTCCAATGGGTAGCGTAATCCACTAGTGTGCCTGTGTGAAGTTCTGCTTATCTTGGGCACCAAGTTAACCATTAATGGAAGCAGGGAAAGGATGGGATGTTAGATAGGTTGTGGTGTTTAGCCCAGAGCCCCATTATTTAAGAGATACAGGACAGGTTACAAAAAAAGTTCTGGAGAATTCTGAAGAGGGACTAGCAAGATGGAAAGCTGTCAAGCCCTAGTTTTGAATTAGAAAAGATTCAGTTATGTGCTTAAGTGAGATGGTGACTTGTAGGTAGGTTCAAATTGGTTTCTTAGGCATTGCAACTGCTAACTGTGGGTCCCTAGGTCTTAACCTCTTCCTCCAGAGTACAATTCAGTTTGATAAGGTTAGACAATAGGAAATGCCCAAGCACATTTTAAGTTGCACATTTAAAGTTGATCAGAACTTTAAGTAAGGCCTCTCCAGGAACTTAGGTGGAGTTTAAATGCCTTTTAACAACAACATGAATCACAACAGGACATAAGCTGGAGCTAGGTACTGTTGTGCGCCTTGGTGGTCATTCCTTCAGGAGCATGCTTAAGCATATTCATGTAGGTACCTAAACTGCTTTGCAGTCCAAAAAAGAGGCACCCCTGTTTTGTGGCAGTCTATTTAAATTGCCCTTTGGAGCTTAGGCAGGTAAATTGTGCTTAAACCTCACTAAGCAGCAGATTCTGATATCTTCCATATTATGGTAGTGTTAAAGTGGCATTGTAGCCATGATGGTCCAGGAATTATGCAAGAAGGGAGGATTTTTGGGGGGTGGGATCTTTTACAGGAACAGCTGCATGTTTAGAATAAAGTTAGACAAGTTTTTAAAAGCAAGGCATTAGGTGTTTAGCCTTGTCTCAGGACATGATTGTAACAGGGCTCTGCCCTGTTACTATGGTTTCGGGGGAGTCTGAACAGCCCCACACCCCAGAAGCAGCTCTGCACACCCACCCCAGACCTGGGAGAACTCCCTGGAGGCTGGGAAACCAGGTCCTGGGAAGTAGCGAGTCCTGCAGCAAGGGAGCTGACACAGGTGTGGGGAGAGAGAGAGGGTTAGCCACATGAGCCCACAGAGTGGGAAGGATAAAAGACACTGAAAGCAGCCTCAAGGGGCTGCACCTGGCCAGGGAGCAGGCTGCCTGGAGTTACCAGGGGGTAAGCAGCCATTGGGAGAGCCTGGAACAGAGTTCCTGTTTGCTTGTTTGATCATTTCCTTTGTTGTACAGCTCTGCATGGTCTGCAAAGCCTCTGAAGGATAAGAGGCAATCAATAGGTGAAGTGCTAACTTATTATTATTTAACTTCTTTTGTTTGGTTTGCATTGCTACCAAGCCTGGGTGGCCTGCTAGTCTTATCTACTAGCCTGGCTGCAGCAGAGGCAAGGGGCCTGAACAGTGGGTACTTGGCCAAAGCCAGCAGCAAAAGTAAAACTGGTCAGCTCAACTAGCATGACCAAACATACCCTGCTGTGATCTGCCCAGACTCGGTCCATAGCAGCCTACAATGATGAAGAATGTGTTGCATTCAAAAGCTCATCTGAATTTATTCCAACCATGTAGTTCATCCAAAAAAGATGTCACCCTAAAAATCCTTGCCTCTCACATAAACCCCATTAAGGAATCAATCTGAACTTAGCTTTGGTAATTTATGATGGGGCAGAAAATCATGACTTGAAGTGAAATCCTGATCCTTCTAAAATCAGTGGAAACATTCTTCTTGAGTGCCATGGGACCAAGATTTTTACCCAGGTTACTAGGGGGTCTTGTTAGAATGGAGCTGGTTCTTTCATTTGAAATTATCTCATTAGCTACATTAGTTCACCTAGACTCTCCTTTGAACCTGAACTGGATCTCTGTTTTGCCTTGTTTTTCTTTGTACCTGGTTGACAAATTGTTCTCCCATAATAATCTTATATACAAATTCAGGAATATATTTGCAAAATGAGTTTAAACAGCTAGGATTTCATTATCAAACTAGGTCATACTATAATATAAACATCTTTGTTTAAACATACCGATTGTGAAAATAATTCTTTTTTTCACAGGCTCTCCCGAAGGCATAATATATATTTTTCCTATTATGGAGCTTGGGAGGTGAGTCCAAAGAGCATGAAGTGTTATTAAATTTAATTTACTATTTTGTTATAAAATGTTCCGTTATGTAAGTATTTATTCTGTAAGTTTGAATGGGCTAATTATGTTGTGCTGCTGGAAACTCTTATGACTTTATACTACCACCCAGAGAAATAAATAAAAGATAAGGTGTATGCTAACATGAAGAATGAATGGAGATTAGTAAACACTTTATATACAAAAAATGTTGCTTCCTATCAACAGAAAGCCTGAGACAATTAAAACCTTCTGAGGTAGCTGTACAACATAAACTGGAATAAGAAAAGTTTGTTTTACTGCTGAGGAAAAAAAAAAAAAAAAAAAAAAAGATTTGAATATCTGTAAGGGTTTTAAGAAGAATTTTAAGGGTTCTCTGAGCTTGTATATTTAGAATTCTTTAAACACAGTCAAAATATCATTACATTATTTGAAAAATTCAGATGTACCAAATTTTCTGATGCTTCAAAAAATCATATTCACTTCCCGAAAAAAATCTGGCTTGCCATAAATGCTACAGATATCCTAAGTAATTGTAATGTTCCTGTCTACTGATCAAGTGTCTGGCATAGAAATTTTCCATCATTATTTTATTTTTCTGTATTATACTATGGCTCTGATCTCTGTTTCAGTGGACTTGTGTTTTTCTCCTTTCACGGGTATACAAACAATATCAAAATTGTGATTTTTTTTTTTTTTTTTTCTTTTGTTCATCCCCAAAATACAAAATGATGGGAAACCAAGGAACTTTTTTCCCTCCTTTTCCTCTTCAGGAAACCTGACCCTTTCTCTTCAATACAAACTTCTCCCCACCATCCAAGGATATGTTTGCAGATTAGATTGTGTATAGTGCACTCTAAAAGGATTCAGAGATTCCTAATTAATGGCCCCACATGCAGACATTTTTTCTCTAAGGAGCACTGCTGTTGAAGAGTTTGGATCCATCTACTGGAACCCCAGCATTCTCCTGCTGTTAATGGAACTGCTTGAAATTGAATTGTCTTGAGATATGAGGCCATCCATATAGAATTCAGCCCCATGTCTTGATCTGAAATAGTCTAACTCTATCGACTATCTGAAATCGTCTGACCCTATTGACTGTATTGAATATGATGCGAAGCCCAGCTATTTACAGCAAGGACAAAGTTAGATTGCAGCCAGGGAAATGTAGGAAGAACTCTTTCACTATGAGAGTGAAAGGTAGTAATCTGTGTTAGATAGAAATTAGGCAGAAGGCAAGGCAGGATGGCAACTTAAGGTGCATCCAGCTGAGCATGCACATGTATTTCCCCGGAGACAAGTAGGGACGGCAAATAGTTGTGCCACTGCTACTTGTCCTTGGGGAGAAGTAGCATGTGCGCTCTGGTGCATGGCAAATTGCTCCAGTTGGAGTAGGGGAGGCTGCGGGCAGCACCTGAAATGGCCCCATCAGCCTTACCTGCGGTCCTGGGGTCCTCCTGGGGCTACAGCAGTGTCAATCCAGGAGCACAGAGCCTGGCCAGCTGCTGAAGTGTGGCTCTGGCAGACCGGGCTCTGGTTTTGGATGCCATATGCTGCAGCCACATGCATCACCCTGCCTTTTTTCTCTGTGGTGTTGTTTTTTTTTTTTTTTAAATATTGGGATTTCCTGGTACAGTATCTAATTTTGCTGCCGCACAGCAAATATGCAGCATGGTGAACGAATACACATGTGCCACATGCTTTTCACAGCACCTCAGAAAGCTTTGAGGTGCTGCAAACCACACGATACTAGCTTTCATAGGTGAGAGCCTACTTAATCATCAGATGCTAGTTCATTCACAGAATCTGTTGTAGTAAGCTGTTGCCTATGAAAGCTTATGCCTCTCTGAACCACTTACTCTCAAAGGGAGCCTATGACTCAGGAGGCTGTTCCAACATGCTGTAATTACAGTGTGTCAGAGCAGATTCAATTGAGTCTGCTGGAGTGTGGTAATAACTGCACTCCAGTTATTACCACTGTCTTGTGTATCAGTGTCCCCATGCTTCAAAATGGCAGGGGGGGGGCCCTTTTACAA